ACTATTATGCTCCCACTATTTAGAGCTTCATAGATTAGCTACTAATTTAGAGCTTCATTTCCCTGTCCCTTCTTTGTCCTGATTTTACTCCTGTGTGGCTTGTACAATAAATACCCAACTATAGATCACTGTTATTAATAAGCACAGCTTATTTTTTAATGATTTTTGGGCCTTCTATAAATTAGCAAAATTGACAATTCCTGAAAGTCAACACAATAAGTTAGCAGCAGGGAAATGGTGTTACTCAGCTGGCTGTAGACCACGAGTAGTTCTTGTGTTTGCCCCGTCTCACTCACTGCCCTCAGTACCCAGAGATTGTGGCCCCAGTTTGTGCGTATCATCTGAGGGACATGGCATGCTAGCCACACATGGCTGCCTCCTTGGCACCTGTGCACATCTCCACATGGGAGGCAAAATGGTTCTGGTTTTGCACATGTTGATACTCTGAAAATCTTTCCAGTCTTTGTCTCACAAAAAAGACCAAAATCTATAACCTGGCTCCCGAGGCCTCCCAACAGGGACCCTGAGGTTATTCTGCATCTCATCCTATGCCACCCACCCCCTTTCTCACCATCTCCCAGCCTCCCAAACCACAGTGCGTTTCTCCATGTGCTCCACTCCTCACCTTATGCAGAGGGTTAGTGCATGTTCTTTCCTACCTATTGTCTGACAATTTTCCCAAGGAAAAATTTCTCACACCATACATCTCACAAACTCACCCTTCTAACATGGACAAGCCAGAGGCTTGCATTATATTCACAGAACATCAGTAACCACAGTCAATTACAGAAGATTCTCAATATCGCCTAACCTCCGGGGCCAGCATTGTGGCATAGTAGGTTAAGAGGTGCCTGCATCCCATATGGGTGCTACTTTGTGTCCTGGCTGCTCCCCTCCAATCCAGCCCCCTGTTGATGGCCAAACTGTTGGGACTCCTGCTACCTAAGTGGAAGAATTGAATGATGCTTCAGGCATTGGACTCAGTCTCAGCCATCGCAGCTATCTGGGGAAGAAATCAGCAGATGGAAGTACTCTTGCTCACTCACTCACTCTGTCTCTTCCTCTCTCTGTGACTTTGAAACAAATTTTTTTTTAAAAAGAAATTGTATACCCCTTAGTTATCATCCCCACTTCTCCCATGCCCTGCCTCCTGCCCTATCCAAGACATACACAAATCTGCTTTACATAAATTTAAATAGATTTGCCTATTCTAGACATTTCATACAAACAGAATCATACAATGTGTGGTCTTGTGACTGCCTTCATTCATTTAGAACATATCCACGATTCATCCAAGTTGTAGTATATTTTAGTACTTCATTTCTTTTTATTGTCAGTTAAGATTCTGCCATATGGATACATCGTATTTCATTTATTCTTAAGTTGACAGACTATGGCTGCTCCTACTTTTGGGATATTATGAATATTCTTATACAAATAGTATTTTTATTTTTTATTTATTTGTGTATGTATTTGAGAGGCAGATAGAGTGCTGCTCTCTGAGTCACTGGTGGTTCACTACCCAAATGCCTTCAGCAGCCAGAATTGGACCCGGTGGAAGCTGGGAACCAAGCTGGAGCCAGAAACTCAGTGCAAGCCTCATACATGGCTATCAGTGAGCAGGAGCCTCAGGTGGTGACCTACGTCATACCTAAGAGCATTAATTGATAAATTAACAACAGGAGTCACTGTGCACTAACTCCCCATGCAGGACCTCTGTCCTAAATGAGTTGTATTATGAGAGTTAATTGTAAAACTTGTTATCAAACAGTTTGTGTGTGTGTTTGTGTGTGTGTGTGCAAATAGTTGAAATCTTTACTTAGTATAGAGTTGGTCTTCTGTGCATAAAGTTAATTAAAAATGAATTTTAATGGAGAATAGGACTGGGCATGGAGTGGTTGGGAGTGTGGATGGGGGGGCAGATATGGTAGGAAGAATATTTATGTTCCTAAAGTTGTACTTATGAAATTTGTAGCCCTTAAACAAAAAGTTTTTTGGGGAAAAAAGAGATTTTGTTGTAAAAATATTTCAGACCTGCACATGATGGGAGCTTCAAAAAGTTGAAGGAAAATGTATATTATGAGGAAACTGTGCATCAGATGGACTTAATGCACTTTACTTATCTGTTGATAAGTATGAATTATTTCTAGTTTTTTGATACTGTAAATAAAACTACCCTAAACCTTTTTTAAAAAAAAATTTCAGCACTCTGAAGTTGCTGATTTGCATGTATCTGTAATCCATTTCAAAGTTAAAGGTGACCTGTGCAGTGTACATCAGAATTTACACTATAGGAACCTATCTTGAGGTTGGTTGCTACTTCCTCATTTTGTTCTAATTGATTCATGAAGAAGGCTGAATTTTTATTTTGTCTGTGTGCTGAAAATGTATAGTAGGCATGAAACATGAACTTCCATAATGTAGATACTCATGAATATTTGGTTGCAAAGAGTATCAAACTTGTTGAATAAATCCTCTATCAAAATAAAGAGAAATCTGATATCTTAAAATGTGTTAAATGTATGATATATTAAAATATAATAAGAAAAGTGTATACTCTCTGAAAATAATCCATAGCAGAAAAATGGAGATGATTACACAATAAACCTTTTGTTTTTCAGTGCACCTACAGACGGAACTGTCAAGAAGTGTTTTAGTATTTCTGGCAAGTGCAGGAAACGGGTGCTGTAATATACCTGTAATGAATGTTTCTATTTTCCTGAGTTTTATTGGAGCTGTGCACCTGTATGTCTGGTTTTTTTTGTTTTACATCCTTTGTAAGGAAAGTCAATAACCACAAGCAAAATCAAATTAACTACATAAATAGTTCTTTTTTTAATCAAATAGTAAATAAAAAAGAACGTGTTTTTGAAAAATAAGGAACTCAGGGGAAGGAAAATTTCCTGCTTTATCTGTCAAGTAGGCCAATCTCCTAGTTTGGGGATGGAGCCCTGGAATAGACATTTTTAACAAGGCCTCTAGTAACTCCAATGCCAGTGGCCCCTGACCTTCACTTTGAAAAAATATTTATTCTAGCTAATGTCCTCATTTTTAAAAAATGTTAATGTAGAAGTTAAAAGATCAGGCTCTGGAATCAGGTTCAAGTGTAAATCCTTGTGGCCCCATATTTATTCACCATGTGGCTTAAGACAAATTATTCCTAGGTGACGTTACAAAGAGTCTGTCTATGCCACAATTGGCCTAATAATCCAATATGTTAGTTGCAATTATTATTTTTTTACCCTTATCACCATTATTCAAATTGGAAGAGAGTGTGCATAACAAACCTGCTTTAAAGAGATGAGATTTTTCTTAGTGAGAAAAATACTTTCTAATCATGAGCTAGGAATTTACCAGGTTGATCAATAGCTTGATCATCACTGTTAGTTCCACAGATAATTTCTGGGTGGTACTTTATTGATAAAATAAGCCTCATCCGTGTCTGTTTTCAAGTGCCTCCCTAAGAAGAGTTTCTGAAGAATTCTGACTTCTATATTAAATTACAGTTTACCACCTAGTTCTGGTCCATTGAGCTGCTGTATAGGTTATAACACATCTTTCTTAGGTGTCATTTGCTGAGCGTAAAGTACTGCCCAAGGACTTAAACAGACATTTTTCAAAAAAAGGAAATCCAATGGCCAAAAGACACATGAAAAAGTGTTCAGGATCACTAGCTACATAGCAGTATGAAAAAAAAAAAAATCTGGTCATTTGCAACAAAATGGATAAATCTGGAAAACATCGTACTTAGTGAAATAAGCCAGTCCCAAAGGGACAAATACCATATGTTCTTCCTGATCTGTGATAAATAATAGAGCACCTAAAATGCAATCAGCAAAAGTGAAATTGACACTTTGAGAAGGGATGACTTTGGCGGCCCTTGTCTTGCCTGTCAACGAATAGGGTTTTTGTTTTTTTGTGTGTGCATACCTTTCAAATAAACCAAATAAGCATTTTTTTAAAAAATATTAAGATATATAAGTCATCTTGCAGAATTCAGAATGTCCATTCACTTAACCAAGTACTGAGTGCCCCACAAGTGTCAGGCTTTGGGAACACACAAAGAAGGAAACCAAGATCCCCACTGTTTTGGAGATATCATAACCACTGCGAAGAGGGCAGAGGAGGCCAAAACAAAAATCATCAGATACATTAGCAAGACAGCTTCGCTGGGAGAGGAGTGGTATGAATGACATCCAACAGGATGGTGTGATGGAAAATGTTCAAAGGAAAGAGCTTGAGATTAAAGGCCAGAAAACATCTTCTGTAAGATGTTTACACTGATGCCTGAATGCCAAGAAGCCAGCCATGGGCAAGGAGCCTGCCAAGGGGTAGAGTGATTCAGGAGAAGGAAATCATCTATGGGAGGACCTCAGGACTACAACTGAGAAACAGCAAGCAGGGCCCATATGATGGGAGCAAGCTAATGAAAGCCAAAGTAATAGGTGGAGAAGTTGGGGACATCGCTGGGGGCCCAGGATTAAAGCCCTGGCAGGCCATGCTATGGAGAAAGGGCATGGAGAACTTCAGAAGGAGATGCCAAAGGCTAACCCAGCACTGTTTGTGGTTCCCTTCCCCCTTCGCTGCTGTTCTTAGGCTGACCAGCTCTTGTGAAACCCAAATTGAGTGGTATTCACAGCAGTTTTGTTTCCATGTTTCCAGCTATAATGCATAAATTCCTCAACTAATGTGCCATGTTAACATGCCATAAAATACCCAAGTGATACCTCATTCTACTGCAGGGGTGGTGAACGTGCAACCCCTGTGCCTTATAAAGCCTGCAAAATCATCTGGTCTGGTCCTGCCAAGGCAACTCGAAAGTCAGCAAATCCCCACGAGGCTCAGTTTTAAGTGGATAATGTTGTATGGCCCATGAATGATATCATAATTATCCAAGTGGCCCTTGGCAGGAACATAGATTCCCCACTCCTGCTAGGAGCACTCTCTTCTTGCCTCTGCCTGGCAGTTCTAAGAGTGTCTTCTCACATCTGCCCCTTTAGGTTGTACCAGGTGGCATTTGAGGTGCCTACTTGTGAGGGAAAGACACGGCAGAAGCTGGCGTTGATTGGCGACTCCTCATCTTCAGCAGAGTTCTTCGTCACCGTGGCTGTGTTCGCCTTCCTCTACTCTCTGGCCGCCACCGTTGTTTACATTTTCTTCCAGAACAAGTACCGAGAAAACAACCGGGGCCCACTCATAGTAAGTGGTTCTCTTTTGGAAATAACTGTTTCTATCTCTTCGAACGTCTTTTGCTAATGCTTTTGAACAGCTGTATGGTTACCCAAGCCCTTGGGGCAGGTACTTGACAGAAAATCGTATTCTTTTTTTATCCAAGTTTCTTGGATCTACAAGAGGTTAGATGTCTATCAACCACTTGTGCCCTGCATTTGGAAACTATAAAGACTTGACAAAAATCTCTAGAGATAAATGATTGGAAATCTTAAGGGCTCAAGGAAGGAGTAGGGAGGCTTGCTGCTGGTTTGTTTGCATTTCCGGCACCAGGGAGTAAGTCACCCATTTTTCTCACTGGTGCTCATGTGAAATGTGTTATCCCCTTAGTTTATGATACCCTGGGCAGAAAACTGTTTGAAGATGCAATTCATCTCTGGATGTCTCTCCTTTCCCATTTAGCTCACTGTCAACCATCTCCACCACCCCTTCCCTACCTCTACTCTCTGTTACCTTATACAATGCTCCAAAGACTCATATGGGTGACGTCAATGTGATCTGGCATCTCTACTCACAGGCACTCATACATCTAGGGGGCCACAATAATTCTCACGGGCATGGCTGATTTTAAGTACAGAAATTTTAAATTTCTCAACCTGCACTGGTACATTTGCCTAAAATTTATCTTCCTGAGAATATGTTACATCTGAAAATATCTCACTCTTATTTCCTAATTGCCTACTCTGATCTTACAAAAGACAAATCTTCTCCACCTTCCAAAATCTTACAACAAAGTGTATTTATAGAACAAAAAATATCTTACACACTCAAAAAAGACCTTTTGAAATACTGGTGTTAATGCTGACAAAAATGAGTGATTCTATGTCTAGGTAACATACTTTTGGGGATATAAGGAATGTTCCACTGTTTTGCCTTCACTAAAATTAAAAGTCATAATCTACCTTTCAGTTGATGGATTATTAAAAAAACGGTTCTTATGATGGATTACTAGTCACTCTTGGACCTGTACCTCAGAAGCAAAGAAATCAATGACATTGCTGCAGCAAAACCACATCCATTTCTGTGTACTCACTCATTTGAGCAAGTTTCTCAGCATTTGTCTATAAAACAGCAGAAACAAAATTCATACTGAATCATGTGATCCTCCAGTAATAAATATTTGTCACAATTATATATTTTATGAAGAAAAATACCTCATTTGTCTAATAAACATAAATTTTCTACAAAATTTTTACTTTGGCAGATTATTATTACATTTTTAATATATTTTGTTCATGTAGGGTATTTGTTCATTACTAACATTCATAATAATCACACAACCCACAATAAATTTTTCATTCATAAAGCCTCAGGGTCATAAAGTAATTAAAAAGTAACAAATTTGTGTACCTATTTTTGATGCAAAGAAACAGAATAGTGTGATCAATAACATGTTTTCCAGAAAAAGAACTGTTACATTAGGCTATAATCCCCTGAGGAAAGTACAAAACATAAAGTTCAAAGAGAACAAAAGGCATGTAACATTTCTAACTATTTAATAGCTTGCTCACTGCTTTTAATGACTGATAGTATCAAGTAATGGTTCCACTGGGTATATTTTAAAATTGATACAATAGCTATTTTTAAGCAGCAATACTTAGAATATGGTAGGAAAAAAAACTTTTTTGCAACTATTTAAACTTTTAGTGAAAACAAAACTTAATGGTAAGCTAACACAAGTAGGAGGAACACAGTTGAGGCTGGTGGAGGCGGGGCTAGGGAGAGGCAGGCATGTGACCTAGCAGTTTGCACTGGCTCCCGTCCAGCCTCTGCTAACGCATCCCCCAGGATGCAGTGGTGATGGCTCCACTGGTTGGGTTCCTGCCACCCATGTGAGAGACCTAGATTGAGTTCCCAGCTTCCAGCATCACACCCCCACCTCCCCAACATTGTAGGCATTGTGGGGTGAATTGGTGGATGAGAGTACTTTCTATTTATAAATTTCTGACTTACCCTTTAAAGACTTAACATGTAAACCAATCTTTAAAGGCAACTAGAAGAAATCCCTAATACTACAATTCTTGTTAAGTTTGAGGGGACTAGAAAAAAATTTCAATTTTGTACCACTTTGGGAAAAAAATGGAATAATGAAGCACAACTCTAATCTTTATGTGCAGGTACCCGTATTTTTCCTATCAAATTGGAGCTGAACTTTAATGAGTTTAAAACTTCTTTAATAGTCACCTAACTCGACCTCATGCCTCCCACGATGATAGGTAGATAAAAGAGACTGCCACGTACTGTAGGTAGACAAAAGAAACTGCAGATGGACCACAGATGGGTAGACAAGAGAGGCTGCTACACATGTGCCACCAAACCAACATGCATCTATCCATTCCTCGAGACAGGCCGAGTTCTCACAGAATGCTCAAGCCTGAGGCAACAGCCTGCCTTCCTCACAGAAGCAGTTGGCATAGCTTGATCACCGATAAAGTGGGAGAGATATATGTTGTTATATAAAACCACACTGTACTCATAAGAAATCATCTAGTAAAAGCCTACGACTTTGTCTCTGTGTAAATAGTCTTTCTCATCAAGCAGGATATAATGAAATCCTGAGTTGTGTAATACACTGGGTAGATTTTGTTTTATTGCATCATGGGGGAATGCAGGGGAGAATATTCCAGTAATAAAAATGGAAAGGCTCCGAGATGAAAGTTCCGTGATATTAAAAAACTGATAGGCTCATTGCTCAGCAGATAAAAGTTAATTTTAAAATGAGCCTGAGTCCTAGGAGCTAGACCAGTAGGATGCCACTGTGAATGCAAATACCAAGATCCACCAGACAAGGCCACAAGTTGAGTGGTGCAGGTGTGCTGTCACACCATCGAGCAAACTCACGATGTGGGCAAGATCTCTAGAGGGCGACTCATCCCAAAGAAAACTTTCAAGTACTGGAAAATCACCTGTCCAGGTGTTAACAATCACTGTAATCATTTCAAACCAATCTTGTTTATTCAGAAAGATGGCTCCTAAGCATTACTTGGACAACTTTGTTCTAGTTGGCATTTATTTATTGTTGTTTTTTCATGTTGAACAAATCACATTTTTTTTTATTCTACCTGATTCTCCAAGCCAAACTTTAGTCTAAAACATAGTTACTGTAGTATGCTGCCATGAACTAATTCAAGCAATTTTAAGTCAGATTTACTTCTAAGCTAGTTCATATCTAAAAACTAACACATTCCCATCTAGATTTATGATCTTAAAGGATTTAATATTACACATCATACACAAATAAAATTGTTGTGTAGCTAAGTGGCCAGGGTAATAATGGTGATGATAATAATATCAACTAATATTGACAAAGGTGATGATAATAGTTTTAACTAATACTGACTAGCTTCTACCATATGCTGAACTGATTTAATATTCACGATGTCCTTACTTTACATTATTACTATTTACATTTATAGATGAGCAAAAGAAAGCTTAGTGGCATTACCAACTCTCTTATATCATATCACTAGTAACAGACAAAGGGCATAGAGTTAGGACCCAAACTTGGGGCCCTACAAACCACCTACACAAGAGGGTCCAAAGTCCTGGTAGAAAATGTGCTACTGAAGTGAGAGGGTAGAGACATATAAGGTAAATTAGTTCGTACACCTGTATAAATTCTAGATTGATCTTGGAGTAGATACCAAACCCTGTAATCCCCAGGCTTTTCTGCTCATTAGACTGTCATAGAAGTGTTTTTATTGGCCTTCACAATCTGTTTGGAGCTGTTGAACGATTGATATGAATGTGTGATGCTGCAAAAACTGGAGGCTCCATATGTGTGGTGCTTTATGGTTCTTACACAAAAAAGATGCCAATAGGAGAGAACGTACTTTGAAGATAGCAAGGGCCACAGTGTATTCCAAATCAGCAATTAGCAAGAGTGCTTGGTATACATTTGTAAGCCATTGCGAGCAGTTTCACATGGAATAGAGCCATGCTTACCGACGGCTATTTCTCAAAATATTTTCCTACAGAACATACGTGACAAGATCACCCACCTTTAAGGGAAAATGAGAATCTGAACGTCTTTAGAAGTAACAACTGTAAATGACCCTGAATGACACAATAGCCAGAAAATCAGGTCAAAGAATCAGCCAGACCCTCACCACTCTACAGTACAGCCTGCCTGTACAGATGAATAAACATTAGCTTCCAGAGAGCAGAAATGGCCACCTGCACAGTGCGTGGTGGTGGAATTGAAATGTCACATCTGGTTACATCATTTTGTTATGTTCCTTAGAGTATCGTTTTAAAGCCAATCTCCTGCCTACATTTATGCGACAGGGCGTTCTGAGCTGTTTTCAGATCTCATGTCAAATAGTCAGGCTTTAGGGTTTCTTCATATTATGCAAGGCAGGTTTAACAGAGTAAGTCATCTTACAAGGCTGACAGAATGCACGAAGAACGAGTGTGTAGTAAACACATCCCATCTTTCAGTGAGTCCTTATTATAAGGAATTTGAAAGTAATTATTCTATGAATCAAAGAGAAACCCAGTATCCTCTGTAAGATTTTGTGCTGGGGGCAGGCATTGTAGCACAGCGGGCTAAGCTGCTCCATGGTACTCCCTCTTGCCCTAGCCCATATCACAGTGCCTGCTTTGAGTCCCAGCTACTCTGTCTACAAAAGAGCTTCTTGCTAATACATCTGGGAAGCAGTGGATGAAGGCCCAAGTGTTTGGGCTCCTAACACCAGGTGAGACACTTGGATAGAGTTCCTGGCTCCTGGCTTTAGCATGGCCCAGCTCCAGGTATCACAAGTATTTGGGGAGTAAAGCAGCAAATAGATCTCATTCTGGTCTCCTGTTCATTTTCTCTCTCTCTCTCTCTCTCTCTCTCTCTCTCTCTCTCTCATCTGTGTTTCTGTGTCTGTGTGTTGCTCTGCCTTTCAAGTAACTATTTAAAAAAAAAAGATTTTGAGGAAAATAAACAGGCTGTGTTATTCAAACTCCACTGTTTCTGTGAGACA